ATAAAGGCTTGATGTTGTTGTTGTTGTTGTTGTAGAATATGCTGACCCAGTTATTTTCCATAATCATAAGATGTCAAGCAACAGAAAATTAACAAAGATAGAAGAACAATGCTGATTCTTGAAAATGAACAATATTGCAAAAGTGAATAAAAAGGGTATCAGGAATCGAATATCAATAAGGTACTTGAATTTCAACTATTTTTATTTGTCAACCATGATGAAAATTTCACATGATGGATTCACATTTAAAGTATATTTATTCATGACAAATGACAGAATATTATGAAACTGAATCGAGAAGGAAACGCATATACCATGTAGACAGGGAAGAAGCCGAAGTGTCTCGCCATCTTGATAGTCTTCAAGACAGATAGCACAAGTTTCAGTAATGCGTTTGGTGTTCAAATAGGCCCTCTTGAATATGAAGCATGGAAGGATTTCTACTTCCTCTCTCTCTATACGAGAAGGTTTTCTATTGCTAACATTCCGAAGAATCCAACAGTTTCGAGCAAATAGAAATGCTGCGATAACTGATATTATAGCAACAACAGAAACAAAAGAAATCACCAGCACCGTTCCTGCGTTTTCCTCTATAGGTGGGCCTATGCAGCATTCTCCGTCACCTTCAGCATACTTCTGTAAGGTTTCACCTGCCATCTTTGAAACAAATACAGCATGTATGTGGATGCCCAGTGGATTTCCAATCACTGCATACAAGATATGAAAATGGTTTGACACTCATGACAGAGAGTACGAAAATTATTCAAGTATATGCCAGCCCTGAATGCACTACACTTTATATAACATGGATGCAATTAGAATTAAATGCTTATAAAAAATAGAGGTCTACTAAGGGTTGTTTCTGTAAACATTAAGTGCTCTCCAGAAATATAGAGGACTACCTAAGGGTTGTTTCTTTAAACATTAAGTGCTCTCACGGAGTTAATGCATAATACATAATATGCTGTCACCATAGACCAAAATTAACACATAATACATGAACATGTTATATACATAATATTTCACATAAATATATTTATCATCTTTATTTGTAGATGGGAGATTTGAGTAAAGTTAAGTATGTCAATTCAGGTTAGTCTACTAATTGGACCCACCCATATATAGTGAACTCAAAAATGACCATTTATCATATTGGTTAAATAACAACAAAACCAGACCATGATATGTTTAACCTGACAGGATGACAACTTGTTTCAGTGCCTAGAAACCTTATTTGAAAATTACGATGTCTCACTTCTGCACTTCAATTCAATACAATTATGCATGAAAAGAAGTCTACTAATTTTTCTTTGTTTCTTCTTCCTTGGTCACTCAGCAGAGCTCCCTACCGCTTCATTCACTTCCTATTGTGACACTCCGCTACCACCTTCTGATGTGAACCACATGAAATGAAAACCACTAGGAGTTAAGTTACTTCAAGAAATTAAGAGAGAAAAAGATTAAAGTTTTTGCTCCTTTAAATTTAACGCTAGCACATAAAAGTGAGTTAGGAATTTGAAAATTTTAAACTTTATTAGAGTCCAAAGAAATGCAATTGAAATTAACCGAAACAATTCATTCAAAATTCGCGAGAGATTTAGATGCAAAGTACAATTAAACAAATCCAACCGCTTAACAAATGAGAATTTCATACTTGAGGGCCGTCTCACTCAACTATTAGTAAGTTTTAGCGGAGAAAGAGAGATCCAAACGATGAAGGATATCACCACTAGAGAGGAAGGTGCCGAAGAAGCTTCGTTGGTGGAGAGGTAGCCGGTGGGGAAGGATGTAGTGTGCGGCTTTACGAGCTCCAATCGTAGTTTGAGAATGGTCGGGTCGATGATGCTCACTAGAATCGAGACGACTCGCTCCAATATTCGTCAACTGTGGCGTCGTCTTCAATCCTAACGTCAAAGCACGGAGATCGGATAGATAGTTGAGCTCTGGTCCGTCGGCGTCGAAGTATCTATCCCCACTCAACTCGGGATCTGCATTCACATTGGAAGTGGAGAGGGGAGATCGTCTCTTCTTCTCTAGGCTTCCAATCTGTCCACGGAAGGGTAAGGAAGAAGAAGATGGGGAGAGGAAGGGCCGGCGTCTTCCAACAAGGGGAGAATTAGGTTGCAAGGGAGCATAGAGGTTTAATCCAAAACCTGAAAATTAATTTAGGTTTAAGTGGATTAGGAGGGATAATCTAAATTGAAAGAGGTTTAAAATTCAAAAAGAGCTAAGGGATTATGGCAAGTCAATTGGAGCCCATTAAGGGGTGCCGGCGGTTTCAAGAGAGAGGGGGGAGGGATTAATGTTAATCCTGAAAATTAATTTCAGGATTTGGGCCCCCTTTGGCCGCCAGGCGAATCCTAATTTCGAATTCCCGTGAAAGAAGGGAAGACCCAAATTAATGGCTTTATTACATGAGAAGCTATGCTAAAAGTAAATTTTTTAATAACAAGTATAACGAATTGTTTATGTATTAAAGATAGTTATCTATTAGAAAGTATAAAGGCAAAGCCATCGCCAGACGAAGCCCTTTACTCATTGTCGCCTGCTTTTTTTTTATTATTAACTTTGAGAGTTGAAGCTCAAACCATGACTTATTCAATATAGTGGTATTATGGCATTGATGCTCAATAGAGGGCGGTCTCTAATGCGTATACTAAGAGCAAATGATGTTGATGATGATGAAATGCCTGAGGGTTAGTTGAGGGCAAAAGTGACTTATACCCCGACACTGCATTGTTCTTCAGTAAATTTGGGAGTATAAATGCATTTCTGAGCTTCGTGATAGTCTTATTTTTGGTTGACTCCTTCCATAGATATCTCAACATTACTTCTCTTATTCTACAATTTCTATTCAATAGCTGCCAGTATAGTCTATTATCAATGTTGAATTGCGAACATTCTAAGACATCTACAGGCGAACGTTAGAGAAACGATGAATGAAAACATAAACGGTCTAAGGGATCTAAATAGAGATAAACTAATGAGGACGCAACAGATAAAGGAAAATAGAGCCCGCGTGCATAAAAACCGACAACAAAAATGATAGGAAATACTTGGTTCACAAGTAATCCAAGAGGAAATACTGGTTCGCAATCAGCCCAGCAATCCTAGAATAATTGGCCCAAAAACAATTGAGAAAACAAGAAAAATCTGGATGAAATCAAACTAAGAGCGATAAATTGTGATAGAAGAAATAAAAAACAAACAAACTCCAAGCAAGAATACAATTGATCTCTTATCGAGAGGAGGATTCGTCTTCTCCCCAAATCTCTAAATTGTGGTCTTAGAGAAGCCAAAGACACCCAAGGAACTCTAAACAGAACACTCAATCATGCTACTACTATGATTACATTAATATATATTCATAATTGACTAATTCAAACATCCTAAAATTCATAAATCCTCACCCCTCATCTCCCTAAAAGTTCGAACCCACCTCTTAATGTTCCTACCTGAGAGGCCCACTAGTTGGCGGCAGAAGAAACAAAGGGAAGGCGGCATTGTACCACCTCCCTGTTAACCTGAGCACGCTGTATATGGGAGATTGGTAGCTAGTGTCAGGTAATTGGATATTAAACACATATAAATATTTGAGATAACTACTTAGGATTTAATAACAAGAATCATTCATATTCATAGGAGCAAAAAGTAAACTTTCTCTAAGATTCAAAATGTATTAATAAAGTGTATATCTAATCTATATAGTACGATCATAACAAGGCATGTATAGAATATCGTAGAGACGGCTACTACATGGATTGCATTAATTCCAATCGTTATGTATAGTATTCATGTTTATTATGAGTTAGTTATGTTTCCGCTTATGAAACATCCTTGGTATGGTAATATGAAAGTAGAGGGGAGTTAGATTGCTTAATGATTTTAAGCTTGTTCCCTCTCTAGAATTCTCACTTTTAACATGGTAGTCAGAGCATACGCCTTTAATTGCCGTCGAAGAGCTCGATGTCCCTGAGTCATGAGCAGGAGAGGATAAGAAGTGTTTGGGGTCATCCGGTTCGCAGGCCAACCGTAACGCCGGACGGTACGGGGTGATCTCGATCGAACTCTCGATCGGCAAGCGCACAAGATAGTCGAACAGTCACGAGCGCAGCCCAAGGAGCCACGCGACCAAGTCACGTACGCCTCCGATCTACTCTCGAACGAACGCAGAACGCACGAGTGGTGCCCTACTGAAAGGCAGATTCGCGTACGCCTGGTTGCTCCCTAACTGTCGAGGCCTCATCGCGAGACGCCTGGCGCCGCGAGTCGGGAGCGTCGCCGGTAGTGCCTGCTGAGGTCGAGCCGGTCGGGGAGCAGGCGCTTAGAGCGGAAGATCGCCGTATGGTCCTGCGGTCAGACCTACAGCCTGATCGATGGTGCACTTCCGGATCGCCTGCGAAATAAGCGTAGAGATTGCGCGCCGTGGTACGATGCGACACGTGCCAGTTCAATCCGAGTTTTCTTTTTTAAGCAATGATCGGTCCAGGTTCGGCTTATTTTCAAGGACAAAAAAAAAGAAACAAAGAAAAAAAAAATCTTACCTTTCGACTTTATTTGTCGAACACATATGAAAACTCTATCTATGGTACGCCTTAATTGCTTGAAATGCTGGTCAGATAGTTAAGGGTCGCTCTCAAAGTTTTGATAATACTGGGAAACCTTCTGGTTCTGTCGGTGCACCTCACCCAAGCGACTTGAGGATGACCTTCAAAGCGATGAAACCTCCTATCGTCATAAATGGGAGAAACTACCTGAGTGGGTCAATTTGTGAAGACCTACTTGAAGGGGAACAGTAGTAAAATACAATCTATCTGTGAGGAGGACCGAAATGAACGATGAGCATCCGCAAATTTGAGGCATGGGAATGAAACAGACTCCATGATTATCTGTCACTCGGATTGTTGAATTCCAATAGACTTCATGCATAACTTAGTGACCACCAATATTTATGATTAGAAAGATTACGAACTGCAAAAGACATATATGAGGATGATAGTGCAGACAAACCTACTCCATCAAAGCTCGTGACGCGGCCCAAAATCTTTTTGAAGTAGTACAAGGTTGGAGCACCACGAAGCAGGGGAGTAAGACGGTGACGAATAGGCCACCATTCTAAACAAAATCTGATGGCAATTAGACTTTGACATCATAATGGTGCATTGAAACCAGATGTCCGGTGGATCTGCGATCCTCACACAGAACTTTATGAAAGATAGAGTTTTATGCACATTTTCTTTGCATGATCTCAAATGCTAGAATTTTGAATCAAGGTTCAATGTTCAGAATCCTCGGACAAGAGATGAAGGTAGAACAATCATCACCAACGAAACTATTCCTAATCCGCAGCAGAACGTAAAGTTCGACAGAGGAGTGATGCTATGATACACAAAGCCGTTGAATAGCTCAGCAAGAGTGATGAACAAAGATCATCATGGAGGTAGAAAGGTCTAAAGATTCTTAAAATCAAAGATAAAGACTCACTTGTGCAGACATATTGCCAAAATAGTCAGTACACAGCAAAAGAAACATGACTGGAGAGAATAGCATGGAAAAATACGCCCACCAAACAATGGAGTGGAGCAACCAAAGGGCTGACACATAGGGGTACATCACATGGCCAACAACGACTACAACTAAGCCAGAAGCTCAGTCCAGTCTTGGAGAATTCAATACAAGAAATATTGATAAATTGAAACACTCCTGGTTACACTGAAAAACCAACTCCTTTTTACTTCACTTGCATACTCAGGTAAGACTCTAATTTCTATTAGTTTAAGTGCTTCTAGAAATCATTTCACAAGGAATTAACTCGGCAACTCATTGATTCAGGAGCACAGATCATAGACCGCTCAACCAACCCACTCATCAATTATACTCCTTGCCAAACAACAAAAAATCATCACTGCTGGAGGGGGATATCACTACTTCCGGAACGGTAGAATGGCAACGAGGCATCCATAAACTTAATCAACCATAACCTCAACCTATAAAAAATGGAGTTCCATCGTACCACAAATTTATCACACAAACCTGATATCTATACAAAAAACTTACCAAATGACCATAAAGTGTCAAGACATATGTTTAATCACTACCATATATTCTTTATTCAGGACCGGCAGATCTGGGGAGAAGAGATTTGGACTTGCTAAGGACGAAAGCAGGATTTTAACTACTTGGAAACGAACCAAACACAAATACATAAAATAGAAGTGTGGCTCTTTGTGTTATCGCCTAGCCGATAGGAGAATCGTAAGCCCGCCTATTTGGCTGTATCATTAGAATGACTCGTAGGACACCCATCTTTTCAAAAGTCATATGGTGTCCGCAACTTTTCAGTAATTTTAGACAATAAAGTTTCAGTGTGAAATTGTGAGTTATGCATATTACATAAAAGACACCCTCATTGCGCAACAAGAAATGATGAGAGATGTGCTACCCTATTCTGTACCTTATTCTGCATAGTGATATATGGGGAGGACGCTCTAAATTCCCAATATCTCTGGGGCATCCGTTGGTTTGTGTCATTCAGTTTGATGATTGTCACAGAGAGTCTCTCGGGATCTATTGTCCACACCACAAATTCGATGTTTGACACCATTGTTCCCATTCTCACCTTTCATTCCATGATAAAAATCAATTCGGGTAAAAATAAAAACGCTTTTCGCTCTCAGATAATGCCAAAGATTATTTCAGACAAACCCTTTCTCCTACTTCCAGAGTGAAGGGATCGATGCTCGCATAGAAATGCTCCTGTGGTCCAACACCACGCACAACAAATGGGGTTGCATGAGAGGAACAATTGGCTCAAACCTCTAGCTCTCACTCGTCGTCGAGCTGTCACGTATTTACTAGCAAATACACCCAAATCCTATTGGGTGGGAATGCTCTTTTAACTGCATAGCTATACATTCATACATACCGACCTACTCATTAAACAGTCTTAGGCCATCAACTTCTGGCGTAGACCTGTCCGCTTTTGACCCAAGATTTCGAACCCATGCATAAATTTACACAAAAATCTTGGATGGCACTGCCTCTGTTCATATTCATAGCCAGGAGCGAGGAAGATTAGATCCAAGAGCACTCATACATGCATCTTTTGTTGGCTAGCTTCTATCTACCCCAAAAAGTCTAGGTATAAATGTATCATCCACATAACAAGAAAATCTTTGTCCTCTAGATTAGATCTGTATACCATTGCCTGAACTAAATCCTATTTTTCAAAAACTCAGTCATTCCATGGGGAACGACATGGACTTGGATAGATGATGAAAATGACACTTAGCACCCTTCTCTGAGCCTTCCTCCACCGACTCAGAAAACAATCCATCTGAAAGGCGAACAAATGACAACACTATCATATAGATTTTTGAAAAGGTTTACTTCCAGACGTACCAAGTCCACAGCTTGTGCTCAAAGCAGATTCCAAGAATCCAGAGGAACACTCCTCTGGAATAAGGTAAGTTCACCACGCCTGCGTATATCGATATAACAACTCATATCCTTCTCACAAACTTCTTCATCATTTACACA